CCACCACCCGTGTCCCGACCACCCGCTCCCCCCCCACGGCCACCACCTCTGTCCATTTCCCCACCACCCCCATCCCCACCACCCACGTCCTCCCCATGGCCACCATCCGTGCGCTCCCCAACCCTCCACCCGTGTCTTGATCGTGGTCACCACCCATGTCCCCTGTGCCCCCACCTAGCTAACCCCATCACCTGTGTCCCCACCACCCACGTCCTCCCCACGGCCACCATCCATGTCCCAACCACAGATGTCCTCCCATGGCCGCTACCGATGTCCACGTCCCCACCGCCTCCATCCCCACAACTCATGTCCCCACCACCCATCTCCTCCCCATGGCCGCCATCCACATCTCCCAGCCAACTCTGCTGCCCGTGTCCTGATCGCGGTTACCACCCGTGTCCCCCACATCCCCACCATCCCTGCCCCCTCATGGCCACCACCCATGTCCCTCATTGCTCTCCACCCATGTCCTCCCCATAGCCACCATCCATGTCCCAACTATGGCCACTACTCTTGCTCCCCGTGTCCCCGCCACTCATGCTCCCCCACGGCCACCACCCGTGTCCCATCCACCCCCATCCCTCACGCCCCCCATCCGTATCTTCCCCATGGCCCCCACCACCCTTCTCCCAGCCAACCCTACCGATACTCACATCCCCTCCACGTCCCCCCTGTCCCCACCATCCATGTCCCCCTATGGCCACTACCCCTGTCCCCTCCACCCCCATCCCCTCTATCCCCACAGCCACCACAACCACCTTGTCACCCCCAGCCCAACCCAAACACCCACAGACCCACATGGGCACCACCTCCCCCAGCAGCTCGGCTGACCCCCACCCCCATCACCCCCCCACACTCCCCCAGCACAGCCCCACCTTGGACAGCCTCATGAACTCCCGGATCGCCGCCTTCTCCTCAGGGAACTGCTCCTCCAACGCAGCAACGAAGGCAGCTTTGCCGGCACGGAGCTGATAGCAGCGCGGGCCCAGGGTCACCTCATCATAGGGGTCAGGCAGGCGCTGCCAGCACAGCTGCCCGTCTGTCAGCTGGTCCAGCAGCACACGCAGCATGCTGCCCTCGTGCATCTGCCCCACGTAGTGGATGCCTGCAGGCACCAGGAGGGCAGGCATGCGGTGTGTGCACGCATTCTGCATGCATACGGTATGCACGGCGCATGTGCACACACACGTGGCCTGCACACTGCATGCACACACGCACGATGCACACACACTGCATGCACACACACGCACTGCAGGCAGATGCTGTGCACGCTGCAGACATCATGCATTCGTGCACGCTGCACGCATGCTCTGCGCCCATTCACCCCACATGCAAACAATGCATGCGCCACGCACACCCTGCCCACGCCGACATCACACGTGCTGCATGCACGCTTTGCACAGCCGTTGTGCTGCAGGTTGGATGCACGATCGCACGCTGCAAGCACCACCAATGCACACTGCTCCTTACCCACGTCAAACTCATTGCCCCGCTCCTGGAAGGTGTGGCAGCAGCCCCCGGCCTGGTCGTGCTGCTCCAGCACCAGCACACGTTTGCCCACCTTGGCCAGGATGCACGCAGCTGCCAGCCCCCCAATGCCACTGCCAATGACAACAGCATCCAAATCCTGCGGCACGCGTGCAGCACTGAACCCTGTGCATGGAGAGAGGAGCGTTGTGCTGCTTGCATGCAGCAGCAGGAGGCGTGCACCCACACAGCATGCAGTTTGCACCCACGTTGTGTGCGCCGATGCAGCACGCGGTGCACATCCACAGCGCATGCAATGTGCACTCATGAAGTGTGCAAGATGCATCTGTGCAGCGTGCACTCATCCAGCACACAGTGCATATCCACCCAGCATGCAACATGCAGCCATGCAGCGTGCACTCGTGCAGCACGCAGTGCACATCCACACAGTGTGCAGTATGGAGCCACGCAGCGTGCAGTATGCACCCAGACAGTGTGCAGTGTGCACCCGTGCAGCGTGCAACATACACGCATGCAGCATGCAATATGCAGACGTGCAGTGCACATTGGTGCAGCACGCCGTGCATGTCTGTGCAGCATGCAAGATGAACGCATGCAGCATGCAACATGGAGCTGTGCAGTGTGCACCGGTGCAGCACGCAGCTCACAACCACGCGCTGCCCTGCATGTGTGGCTGCAGCAGGCGCCGCGCTCACATGCAGCACGCGCACTGCAACTGCACGGCGTGAGCCCGCGGGGATGAGCAGACGGACAGACAGACGCACACACAGACTCACCCCTCCTCAGCACTCTGTTACGGGTGTGCTGGTCCGTCACCAAGGGCCGGGGGGATCGGGGGGCTGGGTGTGCAAAGGGATTCCCAGCAGAACCCAGCAGGCGCTGTGCCAGCAGCCCCAGCAGCAGCACGGCCAGGCACAGAGGCAGCAGCAGCAGCAGCGGCGAGGCCCACATGGTTGCAGCGGGGCAGCGCTGCAGCTCGGATGCAGCACCTCGGGGACGGGGTGGTGTGGATGCAGAGCACCTCGTGTGTGTGTGTGACCCCCATCCCCCCCCCAAGCTGTCGGATCGGGGGCTTAGGGGGCAGAGCAGCTTATCGCTGCAGCGGCTTACAGACGCTGGCTTGCAGCCAGCAGTTTTGCACCCCGTGGGGCAGCACCCCCCCC